TATATATATATATATATATATATATATATATACTGCTGTAAGCCGATGAGACCGCATCCCTCACATGCTTCTACCAGCAAACTTTATTTCCCACAATATGTAAGATACTTTAAGAACCGCAATGACATGCCCTAATTTTTTCGAGATTTTAGGAGATGGCCAAGACACAATACGTCACTGAATGTGGTGCAACTAAAAGAATAATAAATTGCTGAAATCATCAGCAAACTTTTCTGTCATCACTGTTCTTCTCCTACAACGTTCCCGTGTCCTTATACAAAGGATGAAGTTAAGGCAACGCTTCGGATCATTCCCCAAAATACGATTTAGTGGTTACATTTTCAAGGAAGTACAATGAGTCAGATCCTGATTATCACCAGAATCATCCGAATTGATCGTGGCGTTGCCAGCAGTGTGAGTCTGTGATAAGCTTGCGCAACAAAAAGTAACAATAATATTTTAATTATCAGAACTTATCCCTATAACAACGCGTGGTGAAAAGCATATCATCATCAAAATTAAGAACCACAAATGTGGGCAATGCCTTCGCATCATAATTCAATCAATCTCTCTCTACTAGTGCAATGAACTGAAGCCTACTGAAAGGCAATCAATTACATACAGAAAAAACAAATATAAAAATTCAGGGAAAGCGTTTACTGCATGCAACTCAAAACGCAGTTAGCAACGAAAATCAGGGAAAAAAAAGGAAAAAAAAAACAAAACAACAAAGAATATCTCTGTAAGCTGAGCAAAACTGTGTCGCCGGAACGATTAAAAAAAAAAAAAAAAAAACAAAAAGTGGAAATCTAAAAAATTAATAAAAACAACTGATTTATTTGAAAAGCTACAAATAAAAAGAAGTGGGTCGAGTAAAGGCGAGCTTCTTCACGCGGTGAACAAAGAGCAAAGCATCGTTGGGAGTACTCATATGCAAACAGACAAAATCGCCCAGGAATTTTGAGTTTGATTGAACTCACAAAACACCCTAACTCAGTAAATCAGCAGATGCTGAGGCGAAACAACCAGTGAACAGACACTGAACTCATATAATATCAGCAGACAAGGGCGCTAATGAAGGTCGTTCAAAAGAAAGTTATAAACT